CAACAGCGGGTGCTGAGTTGGACCTGCGGGGACCCCGGCTGGCAGGAGCCAGCAGCGAGAACTCCAGAGCGGGGCGGGCTGAGTGGCTCAGCCCGCCGCGGCTCTGGAGTTTTCACCAGCAGCTCCTGCCAGCCGGGGTCTCAGCCCGCTGCCAGCCTGGGGTTCCTTCCCCCCAGGCCAGCAGCAGGTGCTGAGTTGGACCCGCGGGTCCCGCAGGAGCCGGCAGCTGGCAGTGGGAACTCCAGAGTGGCGGCGGGGCTGAGCGGCTCAGCCCACGCCGCGTGCCAGGAAAAATCGGCTCGCGTGCCAACTTTGGCACGCGTACCGTAGGTTGCCGACCCCTGCACTATTGCGTGTTTTATAGTAAAGGGCTTTTGGGATTCATCAGGATGAAAAGTGCCGTAGATATATGACAGCATTACTAACATACTGTCATGAACTGGCTAGTGCATGGTCCTCTACAAATCACAGCAGGACAGCTCAGCTGTTTGGCATAGGCCCTATACCTCCAACTCTTCATGGAGATTCTCTTTTAGCTTAAGTGGTAAAGCCGTATGCTTCTGGGGTAGGAGGCTCCGAGTTCTATCCTCACTGGCACCCTAAAGTTCCAAGTGTCCACAATGTGCAGCAGAACAACAATTATTGTTGCCTTTTCTTTTCTTTTTCAAAGAGATCATCTTCTTCCTAGCTGGAGCTCTGAGCGTGTCCTTCTGCTGTACAGTCCCACTCTCTGGATCCCACATTGCAGCCAGCCACCACCTACCAGCACAGCAGGATTGGGTTGCGGTTCCTGAACAGCACTGAAGCCCAGGTGCGGCGCTGGCTGACGGGCAGCGTGCGTGTGTGCGTGTGTCCCCTCCTGCAAAAAGACCCGTCATTCCTGTCCAGTCTTTTTATCTTCTTGAGTTCCCTGGGGGCAGGGAAATGGCCATGACACTTCCTGTTAAGCTGCATATAACCTTTATTCATTTGCGGTTCTGGCCTTTCATAAGAACAGTCACACTGGGTCAGACCAATGGTCCATCTAGCCCAGTATCCTGTCTTCTGGCAGTGGCTGGTGCCAGATGCTTTGGAGGGAGCAAGCGGAATAGGGCAATTATCAAGTGATCCATTCCCTGTCATCCCGTCCCAGCTTCTGGCAGTGAGAGGTTTAGAGACATCCAACTTTCCCCGGCGCCGGTGGGTGTTCGCACCCCCCCGGCCCTGCCCCAACTCCACCCTTTCCCCGCCCCCATTCCCACCCCTTCCCCAAAGTCCCCACCCCAACTCTGCCCCCTCGCTGCCCGTATTGGACCCCTTCTCCAAATCCCTGCCCCGGCCTTGCCTCTTCCCCGAGCACACTGCGTTCTCATTCCTCCCCCCTCCCTCCCAGTTGCGTGAAACAGCTGTTTCACGGCGCAAGTGCTGGGAGCTAGGGGGGAAAAGCGAGCACGCAGCGCACTCAGGGGAGGAGGTGGAATGGGGGCAGGGGTTTGGGGCAGGGAGCTGCCGGGGGGTACAGAGCACCCACCAATTTTCCCAGCCCCGGAGCACCCATGGAGTCGGCGCCTATGACACCCAGAGCATGGGGTTATGTCCCTGACCATCTTGGCTAGTAGCCATTGATGGACCTAGCCTCCATGAGCTTATCTAATTCTTTTTTTAACACAGTTACACTTTTGGCTTTCACAACATCCCCTGGCTATGAGTTCCACAGGTTGACTGTGTGTTGTGTGAAGAAGTACTTCCTTATGTTTGTTTTAAAACTGCTGCCTATTAATTAGGGTTACCATCCGTCCGTTTTTTCCCGGACATTTCCGGCTTTTTGGTAATCAAACCCCCGTCCGGAGGGAATTGCCAAAAAGCCGAACATGTCCGGGAAAATACCGGCCGGGCACTTCCCCTCCCGCTGCTGCTCTGCTCCTCCCCTGACTCTTCAGCTCTGTTTAAGAGCCGAGCTGCCCGAGCGCTCCAGCTTCAGGCAGCCCTCATGCCTCCGGACCCTGCGCCGCCGGAGACCCGGAGGGGAAGTGCCCGGCCGGCGTCTGGGGTCCGGAGGCAAGGGGGCTGCCTGAAGCCCATAGCGCTCGGGCAGCTCGGCTCTTAAACAGAGTCAAAGAGTCAGGGGAGGAGCAGAGCCGCCGCGAAAGGGGAAGTGCCCGGCCGGCATTTTCCCGGACATGTTTGGCTTTTTGGCAATTCCCCCCAGACGGGGGTTTGATTGCCGAAAAGCCGGACATGTCCGGGAAAAACCGGACGTATGGTAACCCTATCTGCACCACCCCCCCAGCTTTGTGTGCCTGAGGCAAATGCCTCACTCGCCTCGCTCTTGTTACGGCACTGGCCCCAGAGTACAGGTCATGGCTGTGGTTTGGTCCATCGATAATTGTGATTGAAATATGTAAAAGTCATGAAGCTCAAAGAGACGGGGGTCTGATTCTGCTCTTATTTATGCAGGTGTAAATTAGGAGCAACTCCATTAGCTTTGGAGATGTGGCACCAGATTAAATCTGCCATGGGTCAGAATCCACCCCAGGGGTTTCACAGCAGATAGAAAGCTGCCCTCTTTGCTCTGCTTTGTGAAGGTTAAAGGGCTTGTGCCAGTGAGCAATTGCACATGTTTGATTTGCTCACAACACATGTTGTGGCCTTTCCTGCTCAGTATTAAGCACCAGTGTGTTCCTTGTGGGAGACCGTAATGGGTTGCACAGTGAACATAAGAACGGCCATACTGGGTCAGACCAATGGTCCATCTAGCCCAGTGTCCTGTCTTTCAATAGTGGTCAATGCCA